TAAGCCAATTCAAATTGACAAAGCCTGCCACTTGCAACTCAAAGAATCTTATTAAACTGCTGAGTGATTTAAATCTGAGTTGCATTATGATTGTTTTTATTCTTTCCTCCAAACACCTGGGTGTAGAACATATACTGTGTCTCATTCACCTTTGTGTCAACTGATGTGCCTAGGTCTGTGATTGGTACTAAGTAGACATTATTAGGTGAGTAATACTAGTTACAGTAACAAACTCCCAACTGTTCATTTCTTGACACCATACAAGTTTATTTCTCACTCACATAGATGGGTGTTCTTAAAGGGGAGGTGACTATTATCCTGGTATTGTTTCAGAAACCCAGACTCCTCTTGTCTTGTGGCTCCATGCCCCATGGCTGTGAGATCCTGTGTCAGCTCCTCTACAAGTAGGAGCATACAGTATGAAGAAGACTCCTACTTCTTAACCACCTGGGCCCAGAAGGGACCTACGTCTCTTCTGCTCTCAGTGCGTTGGTAAGAAGCAGCCACATAGCTACAAGGACTAGGAAATATGGTCCCCAGATGGGCAGCAAATTCCTATAAGCAGCTCTACCCTATGGAAAGGAGGTAGTAATATTTTGGGGAAAGCTAGCCATCTCTTCCACAAAGACATCAAGTCATGTTGCTTGAATTTATGTTACTATGAGACAGCAAGAAGGAAGGAAGGAAGTAGGAAGAAGAGGAGGAGGAAGGAAGGAAGAAGAAGAAGGAGAAGGAAGAGGAGGGAGAGGAGAGGGAGGAGGGAGAGGAGAGGAGGGAGAGGGAGGAGAGGGAGGGAGGAGGAGAGAGAGGGAGAGGGAGGGGAGGAGGGAGGAGGGAGGAGAGGGAGAGGAGAGGAGAGGAGAGGAGAGAAGGAAGAGAGGAGAGAGAGAGAGAGAGAGGAGAGAGTAGGAGATAGAGGAGGAGAGGAGAGGAGAGGGAAAAAAAATAAATCATCTAGAGTTAGGTGAAGAGAAAATTCACTGTGGGTCAGAGATGGGGAAGAATTGCTTCAAGGAGCAGGAATTGAGCATTTTGGTTCTATTTTCTTAATTAAACAAAGCACACTAAAAACCATTGTATATCACAAATAAAAATGTACAAGAACTGTACTGACTACCTTAGTGAAATGGCAACACCTCTAACACGTATTATTTAAAATTCTTCCATATTATTACCCTTGGGATCTAAGCAACGTAAGTCAAAGCTTGTCTTTCCAGCAGCTTTCCTCATCTGGGTCCCTGCAAGAGCACAGAACAGTCTGCCAAAGGACTTTCCTTAATGGTTGAAATTCCAAGGATGTAGAAATACAAGGATGCAGAAGTCCAAGGATGCTCTTAAATGGCTATTTCTTCCAGTGAATAGAATCCTACCTAAATTCTGTGAAGAAGTGAGGGAAAATGCACAGCCCTTGGAACAAACAGAAATAGTTCAAAGCGTCTCTGGGGACTTTCCAAGGTTCTTAAATTCAAACCCTTATGGCATGAAAGTTGGGTTCTGGACAGAAAGTGTGGTTCCAGAGCAGACCCCAGTGCTCAGCAGAAGGGAAGAGTGGGAGACACAGGATTCCTACAACAGGGCCAGACCCCAGTTGTGGAGGGCCCCAGAAACTGCACACAGCATCATGGACATGTCCTCTAGCACTAAAGGGAACTTCTGAAGAACAGAGACTATGTTTAATTCATCTTTGTGTTTCTAGTGCCTAACACAGTACCTGACCCCAAGCAAGCATTTGCTGAGCATTTGGTGAATAAATAAATGGATAGGGCTGAGATTTAGTTATTACATCTTGGAGGCAAAGTGAGCATTTGGGTTCAATAGCAAAGAACAAAAAATAGTTTAAAACTAGGGAACAAGATTGGGAGCAAGATTAGGGAGCAAGACAAAGAAGACACACTCGATGCTGGGTGTCTTTAAATGCTTTTAGTTGGAAACCAGTGTGGTCTCAGAATCAGTAGCAAAAGTCAATAAGCAAAAGTCAAAAGGATTTAGCTATTTAGGTCGGATGTTGAATCCAGAAGCCAAGGTAGTTCTTATTTATAAATTGTTGTACAATATGATTGAAAAAGGTCAATAGTAGTAAAAGATCTGCTTTTTTTCTTCATGATGCTTATCTATGTTACAACAAGAAGCAAAACCAGCCTTGAGCAAAACTATAGACCAGACTTCACCCCTTCATGTCCTCTTTTTGTCATCCGCCTGTTGTCAGTAAATGCCCCTTCGTGTGTCCAATAGCTTTACATTTCACCACCCCTTACTGCCCAGGTCTTCCTAGGATAACACATCTTCTTCAGACTTTCTCATCCTAAATGTACTCACCTGTGTCTCAGCTATCAGGCTCTGTCCTGGCTGGGGAGAACTGCCTTAACTCATTCATCTGCCCATGTAGTCAGAAAGGGCACTGTTGGTAAATTCAAGTAAAATATAGCCTTGTTTATTGGTGTCTTCTGGAGACAAGGCCTTTACCCAAAGGAGTATCGCTAACCACAAAAATTTCCAAGAGAAGTAGGGCCACTGGGGAGGAGATGTGGGGGAGGGCTGTTGCTGAACTTTTGCTGCCCTTTAAACCTCCCCAGGGGAGGCAGCTGCTCTTCCTGTCAGCTCCACAGCCTGGCTATCAGACCCTTTTAAAACAGCAACTGTCCTGGTTAAATTGACACCGAAAGACCTCTCATGGCAAAACCTCAGCCCGGGGCCAGTCAGAAAGATAACGGTTTCATTAGTTGGTATCTTTACAAAAGGGTGCGTGAGTCATTTCCCTTTAGACCATTCTGACTCCTTTATTTCTGGTTATGTCAAAACACTTCTTATAAAGTAAGCGTTGAAAGCACATAACAGTGGTCTGTGGTGTTCCTTATATACTTCTTTTGAAAAAAATTCTCCTAGATAGTCTAAAGAACAAAATTTAACTTTTTGTGTAACATTATAACTGTAACCAAACCATAACAGCCTCCGTAGTTACTGGTGGCCTAAGGAGGGACGTGCTGCCTCAATCCGATGAACAGTTTCAGGGTGTTTATGTTCAAAAAGCACTACAAAACGAACACAAAACTGCCCTGATAATAAAAGGAAAATGTTAGCAGCTTGAATGTTATCAATTTTTCCTTTTCTATTGTCATAACTGCCTTAAATCTTTTCAGAAGTAATATAAAGTATAAGTGAATTCATGCAAATATATATTCATATATAAATACATATATACACACACATATACACATACATTCATACATATGTAAAGTCACCATTCCCAGAAATATTCCCAAAGGAAGCTGCCTTCAGGAATATTTTTCCTTCAAAATAAGAGTGGGTTATAGCCTCTGTTGCAAAATTATAATAGTTTCACATATTTAGCAGACAGCTCTCTAGCAACTCAACTAAATACATTTTCCCTCTGAAAAGCAACAATAATAAAAAGAAAAAGGCTCCAGTACCAAAGGAGAATATACTTGAAGCAAATTCATACTCTTCATAAGGGAAGATAAATAAGGTCCCCCTGTAGCCTAAAGGCCAGATCGAATTGATATATTCAGGGGTTCACCTTAAGGTAGCTGATTTAACTTGCTTACTGACCTGATAGCCCACAAAGCCTATAGAAGAGCCTTAGCAAACAGAGGGTATGAAATTAAACATGCAACGGGCTGTATGTATGGAACAGACCCAGGGAAGCCAGTCAAATGATAGGAGATGGCTGAGGGGAAATATTTTAAAAAATCAAATAGACAGGCACAGTCCTTTATGAGCCCTGACACCTGAGGATATTGTTCTGTGCCCCACAGTTTACAGATAACAGAGTGATGGTGCTGAGTCATAAAGAAAAGGTTAGGTCACATCTGATAGACTGTGTTTATTAAGACAGGGAGATGAATAATGCATCCTAGATAATTATCCATTAACAATGGTTTTCAGAAAGCTTGGTACATAAAATCTATCTTTAAGACTCTAAACACTGAAAGTACTTTATTCCTCAATGTTACCAACAGATGAAGTATTACTGTGTCAGTCAACCAAATTCAAGAACTGAGAATAATAGAGAAACTGTCAAAAGGCTACAGCCTATATTTTAATCTCGTTTTGCTACTTTCAAGTACTTAGAGTATTTTTTTAATTTTAGAGGGCCTGTTTTAATAAATAATAATTAGATAAGCATGTTCTCAATTTAACATATTAAAAGTTGAAGAATAATGCTTCTGAAAAGCTTCCAGGCATTTCTTTCAGTTATTTATTCAAGAATGCCAGGCATGCTTCTCGGTTCCAGAGATATAGAGGTGAAAAGTGAAAAGTTTTTGTCTATCCCAATGACATCCCCAGCCCCAACACAATTTTGCTTTTGCTAAGGATCTATGTAAAAATTCTTTGTTTGTCACTCAAATTCTTGCAGAATCTAAATCACCTATGTTTATATAAAGTAGCAATTATGCCAAGTAGTTCTAGCCTCAAGAAATATACAGATCAATCCATATCCAACCACAATTATCTGGACCCACAATCTAGCCATGAAGAAACAGGTAAACAGTAGCTGCAATAAAATAAGTGCCATGTCAGAGCTATAAACACAATGCTTGTTATGAAAGTAATGACAAAAGGAATGAACATGGTTTAGCATGTGTATATATGTATCGTGTGTATACATATATATATGTGGCTGGAAATAGATGATAGATAGATACATAGATGTGTTTTGACTCTGGTGACAAATAATATTGATGCTCTTTTTCATGAAAATAAAAACATGGCATAGCAATTTGGGATTATAGCATCTACTATTAGACAAATCTGAATTGGAAACCAGGTTCTGCCACTTATTAGCCGTGCAATATTAAAGAAGTTACTTGACCTCTCTGAACTTCTATTTTCACCTGTAAAATAAAGATAATAGTAGTATCTAATTCAGTGAGTTATTAAAGTCCTTAATAGAGGTGAATCAAAAATCATTAATTATTTTTACTTCTTTTTTATTATTGGCATATAAATGTCTTTTGAAATAGTTTTTACTCACCAAACATTCTGATTATTCTGTTTTTCATTTTTAAAGTAGGTGTAAAATGTTGTGTTCAATAATGTAAACAAGGAAGGGTCTTGAGCACTTCAAACGTACAGGTATGCATAGCTAGAAGAACAGCAATAAACACAAGGCAGGGGTAAGAAAGAGCTCCAGCTTTTTTGGAAGCTCTCTTGAATGCCCAGATATTTTTAGATTACTTTTAAAATGGAAAACAGACACACACACCAAGAGGCATAGAACAAATACCCAGAAATATTTTGCTTTGATTTTACATGGGTTATTTTTACAGATCTGTCTTGCTGTGTGGATTTCATTGTGAATGAAATGAATCCGTAATATTGCTTCCATGGAAACCTGTTTCTTTGTGATTGGCTGAGCGGTATCCAGGCACTTCAACAATACCTCAGAAAGTACAAGTACTGTTAATATTTAACAGACACAGTAAAAACCTACCAACCCCATGGCATTTGTTATGCAACTCACCATTAATAAGGAGATTCGGATCCATCTTAACATATTCTCACCCTCTAAATATCCCTGTGAGGTTCCCTCCCCTTCTTGTTAAAACCTGACATAGAGAGAAACACAGCAGGGAGTGGGGAAGAAAGGGCAAGACATGGAGGAAGAGGCATAAAACCCTGAAGGCGTGATAAGATAAAGCCTTATTCTTGTATTTAATACTGCCGTTTCATTTCCTTTATTTCAAGATCGAATTGATTTCAAAAGAGAAAAGTGATTTGCCCAAAAGGAATGTTTCTGCCACTTTACATTTAATTGTGATTAAGAAAGTATCATGTCACCTAAGACAATTTATAAAATCATGAGTATACTGGTGTGACTAACCAAGAAAGATGAGGCAAGTGATATAAATTAAAAGGCCCAAAGGAGGCAACATATATTTACCAAAGTCTGTGGGAAATTGAGATTTTTTTCAAAGCATATACGATTTGAAACTCCCAGTGTGCCTTGAATTAAGAAAAGCATTCACATACAAAAAGTCCCAATTTGCAAGAGCTAAATTTCCAGGTAATTATCTTTCCAGCAACCTATACACTGTCTGGATACTTGAGAACTTCCCCCCCCCCACCGTGTATTTAAAGTTCTACTTACATGCTATCATAAGCAAATCAACCATTTAATAGGAGGTAACAGTGTTGAACAGCAGCTAGAGTTTTTAACATTTACCTATAGCAACATTCCACTTAGGATACTCTTATTTGAATATCTTGCTATAGATTATTAGAGTTACTCAACTCCTGATAGTGTATAAAATTTGAAAGTGTGACTATATATGTCTAGATTAAAAAACCTTAAAAATAAGGAGAAAATTACTATATTTTGAGCTTATATATAAATAACTCTAGAGCGATGTCTTGATTTTGTGTATAAATACAATGAAAACCATGTTATGAACTGCTACTAGGCAAGGTCTCTAGACTGTATCTAAAGCTGATATTTGCTCAATCCCAGAAGACAGCTGCTTGTGTGCTTCCTGGAAATCAATAAATTGATATAAATAAAATTGAACAAGATAGGTTTAAAATGTATATATAGTAGTATCTCAGTTATGATAAATTAATGTTAATTTATGGAAGGCTACAAAGTCATATATCAAAATATTAACCATGATTATTTCTGGAGCTTACGAGTATATTTATATGTATTTTTTTCTTTCAATATATACCTGACTATTCTCTCTAAATTTTTCACACAAAGTATGTGTTATTTAAAAAGGAAAATTTATATATCTTGAAGAAATTATCAAAGATCTTTTAATCTTTCTTTGTAAGGACAATTAAACCTTAAGTGTATAAAGAGTCTCACACATTTTAAAGCATTTCATATCCATTATCTCATTCCAGGCACACAATAGCCTAGGAGGAAGATCTTACAGAGAATGGAGTCTTACTTACAGATAAGGAAAGTGAAGGCCAGGCACCAGCCGATTGGCAAGATGGGCAGGACATAAGAGTCAGAGCTGCGGGAACATTTCCCAGAGTCCTGGGGTTCCTAACTCCCATCACCTAGATTACAAACAAGTTATATCAAATGGGCAGTTTTCACATCTTTTTATACCAAGTTAAAAATTCATTTTTGTGCCTTACGTTTTTTGTATTCTGCTCCTACACATAATGCATTGTTAAGAATCAAGCAAATGCTTACTAAACATTTGCTATAATAATTAACTTACAGTTACCCTTCCCTCTTTGTGTTTTTTAGAACTGATTTGATCTATGAGGCTAAATATACTTACTAAAGAATTGAAAGATAACATGTCAATCAAATTTGCCTTTAAACTATTTTCCAAAGTTTGAAATTCCAGGGGTTTAAAAAATGTATACTTCCCTAGCCATTCATGCAGTTTTAAGGAAAAGGGCTGAAGAGAAGAATAACATGAACATGCATCTAAGCAGTTTACATGAAGCAATGTCTAGAAAAGAGCAAGGATTACTGCACCTGTACCAGCTCTCCAAGCCCAGGGCATAGAGGGAGGGAGGGTGGGAGGAAGGCAGGTACACACTTCCCAATTTGGTCACTTTCTCTCTAGTCCCAGAGTGAGATCAGAGGTTGGGACAAATGGAGTTCCAAGGGACAGTCCCAAGGTGCATGGTAGAGAAGAGGAAAAATGAAGAGATGAGCATCCCAAATGCCAGGATGAAAGGGAAATTACCTAGAGTTTCAAAGTTTCTTTCATAGGCTGCTCATTTGCTGCAAGGGATCTGCATCAGCAGAGTTGCTGCTAACATATATGAGTAAATTAGAAAACAGGTGTCCCTTCTTCCCACATAGTCTTGAACCAAAGTGTGCAACTTAGTGAGTGGAATAGGGGTCGGATTATATCCCTCCTTCATTCCCTGGCCAGGAACCCTCATGCAGTTAGCAACCTGCACAACTGTACGCTGCAGCCCTGTTCATGAACCGGAAACCTAATCAATTTGGATCTGCCTCTAACTGGAGAATATTTTTGACTCCTTGCCAACAAAGTATTCTTTGGTTGGTAAATACACATACACATTCACATATATAGCAACTCTGATGTGTAGCAAAGACAAAGAGGTGATTTCCAGAGTCCAGAAGTAAATAAGTTATTTCCTTAGTTAAAAGGAAAATAGATACCCACCTCATGGAGTATTGTAATGATTGAACAAGATAATAAATGTCAAACACAATGCCTACCACTAATCAATCAATAAAGTGTTGGTTCTCTGCCATTTTCACTATTACTGAAACTATTTAGGCAAAGCTGCTGTTACTGGAGTAATTTTTTAAAATCTAACTCTTTCTTGCCGCAAAATTTTCATGCTTCCCCACATAGGAACAAACTTTATTCCCTCCCTTACTACCATCCTTACATCACATGCATTTTAGAGTAGCAGGCAGTATGCCTTAGACACTGAATCCATGTGGAAGAACTGCAAATTAGTCTTGTGTGAAATGTTAGTACAGAACTCAAAGCCAGCTCTGACTTTACATTTTATAAAGAAACTAAAATTTGGCCCATGTTTGCAAAAATTTTTGCCAACATTTGCTATGGACCTGTGAACAAAAGATTCCAGATTTGTTGAGAACCAGGCAGAAGTCAGGCACATCTCCCAAAAGTCACTTTGAACACTGACCCTGAAAAAAATGAAAAGTTGATGCACAAGACGGTGCAGGAAAAATGTGCCGAGTCATATCTTTCAATGAACTTGGGTCATAGCCCTTCCTGCAGTTCTATCACTTCCAAATGAGCTCAAGAGACAGATGAGCTATTTCTTAATGTTTACCATGGCTTCTGAGGCAGCAATAGTTACCTTTTTTTCCTATAGCTTTTTAGTTAAAAAATTATGAACACATAAAGAATCCACCTTCCATATTTTGACCAAATTAAAAGGCAGTGAGGAAAAGGGAGCAGTGCTCTGTTAGTGTTCTCAATGTTGGCATTGATTACCACATTGGCATAGAGTAACATTGTTTCCAAAATACCCTTATCCCCTCTCTAAGGCAGTGGCAAACTTCCCAGAACTTCTGGACTCTGGGATATGAAAAATAAATAATAATCTCCATGGTGTTTATATTTTAATGAAATGTCATATAGCCAGATTTTTCTGAACCAGTACAGATTTAGCTGAGGACACTTTCTCAACAATGAAACTCAAAGCAATGATCTAACACGTGGTATAAATGGGAACGTGTACAAATCATAGAAATTCTATTGTCAAGGCAAGCTTGAAAATAATGGAGGACATTACATAGACACAGGTCAAACACCAGAACTAAACAACCAAAATCAGAAAGAAATTATATACAAAAACAAAGTATCTTTTTTGTTTGCTTTTTTTTTTTTTCTTTTTGAGACTGGGTTTTTGTTCTGTCACCTAGGCTAGAATGCAGTGGTGTGATCATAGCTCACTGAACCTCGAACTGGGCTCAAGCAATCCTCCTGCCTCAGCCTCCCAACTAGCTAGGACTACAGGTGCATGCCCACCATGTCTAGCTAATTTTTTTAGTTTTTGTAGAAACAGGGTCTTACTATGTTTTCCAGGCTAGTCTCGAATCCCTGGCTTCAAGTGACCCTCCCACCTAGGTCTCCCAAAGTGCTAGGATTACAGGCATGAGCCATCATGCCCAGTCACAAGTATATTAAAGCTAGGGAAAAAATAGATTTTTTTAAAGGTTAAGAATAAAGTGGGGTAGGAAAGAGATAACAGAACACAAGTTTAAGAATTTATGTTCTCTTTGGGATCCTCTGAGTTGCAACAACTTATCAGATGACTATTCCAGGTAAGACTAGATCCTGAAGTGTGGGGTAGAGAGAAGAACGGGGCCCTGGACTCGCCTCTACCCTTTGACTCTCACCTGCCTGTATGCCCCCTGCCTCTGCCTGACTGCTCAGTATTCATGAAGGCTAGGACACGTGTGCCTGTTGGCAAACAACTTCAAATCCTTGAATCTCACCTTTACACATTCCCATAAGTAAATTAATGGTCTCTATTGTGATGCTTAAAAAAAAAAAACTAAATAAAACACATCAGAAATAAATATATGAATAATTTTAACCAAATCTCCCTTCCTCAGAATTTCTGAAGCACTTACTGGCTCTCAAAATTTCTGATCCTTTATTACAGCTGTTTGTATGTCTCATCTCCCTTGCCATACACCTTGGCCACCAAGGGCAGCTCAATCCACTGCTTTGTCATTCACAGATCCTAGTACAGCTCCTGGAATAAAGAAAATATTTCAACATTTATTCATCTATTCACACTCTATCCGTATATTTTCCTAAGTCTGAAATTAAAATATAATTAAGAACAAAAACATATCTTTTGAAATGCAGAATAGTATAGTTTCAGCACCATTCTGTTTCCCCCTGAATGTACTTCTGGATTCATTTTTTCCACAAGGGTAGGCACAAGGTACTTTACTAGAGCACAAGGTACTTTCCCCAGGATCCAGAGTAAAGACAACATCACCTCTGCCCTCCAGAGTCCAGTTAGGGACACAATGAAGTAAGAAAATTATGGCAACGAGGTAATAAATGGGTCATTTTACCCATAAATGGCAACGTTGGGTAATGGCAATTACCCAAAATTATGGCAACGCGGTAATAAATGGGTCAATTTAGAGATCATTTTACCTCTAAAATGACTTAGAAAGAGGGTGATGGTGGGACTCCAGATCAGGAATTGTCAACTATAGATCCAGAGAACTTTGTGTTTCCAAGGAAGATATACTCAGAGACAAGTCTAGACATTCACATAGTTTTCATGACTCAGGCATTCTGTCTGTTGAGTTCCCTACTGATTCCGTATTTGCTGCACAAAAATAAAGATGGGCTGAAACAGACAATGTTTGAGCTGTAAGCTCCTTGACTAGGTAGGCTATGGAAGCATTAATATGGAAGACACACATCTACTTTCTTGAAGGCTCATTGTGCTTCCCAGCTGGCCTTCTCAGGGCAAAGGAACCCCTTCCAAGAGGTAGGCAGGCCCAAGGTAATCTCATTCTATCATTTGAGTTATAAGAGGGAGAGTCCAGTGAACTATAAGCCAGGTGGAGCACTGTCTAGACAATAGAGCATTGTCTAAATTATCCTTGCTCTATCCCAGGACCCAGGCAATGCTTGACACATAGCAAACCTTCAAGAAAAATCTTCTGAAATGAATAAATAAATGAATGAATCAGGAAAGGATCTAAAGTAACAAGTCTAAAGAGAAGACACCAAATATAGACCAAAGGCCACACAAAGTGTGGCTCTTCTACCTTCTTTCATTATACCAAAATTTTCACCACCCCAAAAAATACTTCCTTGGCCCTGACCCTCTCCCTTAGGGTGAATGAGAGGCAGAACCAGAGCTCTCACTCTGGGTCTGGGAGTACGCACAATACATTTATTTTCAAAATATTGCTTGGAATACAGTAGAGAACAGGAGAAAGAATTTGCTTCATTCAGCCTTAAGGTTAAAAAAGGTTTCTTGGAAGTGGGGGCATTTGAGCTATTTACATTCCATGTGAACCACAAAGCCTGCCCTTCAGAAGAACTCTGCACTTGGACATAGAGAGGAGGCAATGAGAGAGATAACTTCATGTTTTTTCTTATGAAAAACAAAAAGAAAGAAAGAAAAAAACAAACAAAATTATCACAGACATCAAAGACTATTTCCCAGTGACATAAGCTTGAACTTTCTAAAAATGCTGTTAGCTTATTCAACAGTTCATGAGTAAGAAGCAAATTAAGAAGACATCAAATATGGCAGGGAATACAGATTGCAAACTTAAGTATGCCTGCAGGTTTGTTGTCAAAGAGTGAGAGATACTTTCCTAGCTCCATCTCAACAGGAGAGCAAGGTGCTGAGACCTGGGCGTCTGAGGCTTGACTCACTCTTAGGAAGAGAGTTTTCAGACACTTAGGCTCCCAGAGGAGATGGCTGAGGAAAGCATAGGAGTTTCCAAAACACATGGCCCTACCCCACTGGACCTTAAGGCCCTATCCTGTGCAGGGCTGCTAGGATAGGTGACAGAGGCCTAAGGTGACAGAGGCCTAAGTCAAACCCCTGTGCCCTGTGGTCCAGGAGGGATCAAGAACCCCCCTGGCTGAGTTACACATGTACAGTGTGGCGTCAGACCCACTCCCTTTTCAATGAGCCACTTCAACAGCAAGCCAGAAACCTTTCCTCAGATTTTCTGAAAGGCAGAAGACTTTCAGTTCCCGGGAATGACCAGAGGAACATGCAGGGCAAAAATGGGTGAGATTAAATTTTCTACCAAATTTGCAGGGAAGAGGAGGGAACAGAGCCAGATTTATTTGAACATCAAGAAATAGAACACTTCCCGGCCCCAGAGTTGAACAGCAAATTTATATCCATTTTACAAGTTTGACAAAACTTCAAATTTTCCTTTTAAAAAATAAAATCTAGCCCTTAGATCTTGGTAAATGAGCAGCCGAACTCCACATGCTGCAGGCTACCCGTATCTACCTCAGACACAGCAAGTCAACTGTGAAACCAGCCAAGCTTGACAAGTTCACCCGATTTCTGACCTTCCAAGAGTTAGAAGAATGTCTGTCTCAAGCAGTTTCAGTTACTGGCCTGAGATGACCCAAGGACTTCCTCCCTCTAATAGCCCTTTTGAAAAAAAGGGAAAAAAAAATCCACAGACCAAAATCCTCTCTCTGGCCAAGCACCCACTTCACTAAATAAATAGGAACAAAGTGGCTAATGTTGAAATGAAACTAATGCTACATTTCAGTGCTAAAACTCATGTTTTCTTTTATATTTTTTTTCCACAGAATCTATTAACAATGTGTAAGGGTGGCAAGAATTCGATAGGGCATTTCACTTTTCTAGATAGCAAGCATTCATTGGTTTTTGAATGTTTTTCATACAAAGCAGAACTTCTACTTTATTGTGTTCGAGAGAAAGAAAAGCATTTTTGAATCAAAACAGAGGGGGAACTGCAAAATGAATTCCAGTGAAACATGAGCAAGCAAGTGCATCCAAGGAGGTTTTGTTATGACTTATCAGCATTCAAAGGACAGGAGAAAAAAATAAAAAGAAATTATTCAGTTGTTAAATCAAGACTTCTCATCCCCGTCTTGTAGTCAATTTGCCAAATGCCTTTTCTCTTCTCTGATGCCATCTTCCAATATCCCATAATAACCTGATTGATCACTTGGTCACATCAGCCCAAACTCATTAAGCCAATTAAATAAGAGCATATGAGGAGGCGAATCCTGCTCACTTAGCTTTGGCAGCGCCATGGGCAACTCAGCTTCTGAACATTCCTCATCGTCACATTTCAAGGGCTGTGATCCTGCATGGGTGGTTTTGATTTATTAAAGGGGACACATTGGCACTCAGAAGGACTTCTCAGGACACTGAAGGGGAAAAAAGTAGTAAAAACCAGGGCAGTCTGACAAAAATAAGATGCCTTGTCACCAAAACCCTGAGGCAGCTCACACACATGGTGCCGTATTTTAAAAATGAAGAAAATAGACTGTCATAACAGCATGGTTCTGTTAGGATAGTGACTCCCGGAGAGCTCTTTCCTGGTAATGCCCAAAGAGCAGCATTGTTCTGAGGAAGGCTTCTAGGGGGTCATTGGCAAGACAACCACATGTGGTTGTACAGGGCATCCACAGAGGGGCAGGAGAGGAGCTTGGAGCCCACCCAGTGTGCACTGGGTGCCCTGGTGAGGGGTTAACTCGGCTTGGAAGAAGGAGGGAGGGTTTATCTCTAATTGGTGCACAAAAGGTGCGCATTTATGCAGTTTTTTCTGAAGGGCATACATTTCCTTACCTGTAAAAAGGTACTATATATGCTAACAGTTTGGAGTCTGGGTAATAAATAGATTGGATTAATGATTTATTGTCCAAAAACCTGACAATGTAGAGACCAGAAAAGCTGTCACTTTTAGGAATTCTCCTGAATTCACTTTGAGTTCCAAAGGGTCTCTGCACAACTCTGGGATAGTAAAGTTTTTGGAAAAAGCCAACCAGAGATTTGGTCCCAGCCTGAATTTTTTTCAGCATAGGGTAGGAATATGGAGAGAAGAAGGGAGTGCTGACATGTTTTCTACTATGAACATTAGCACATTTGAGGGAGGGACTGTTCCTTATTCACTGCATTCTTAGTACCATGCACTCAATAAAGCTGTATGGTTAAAAATGCATTTAAATACATTTTATTTTTTGCACCTTGCTCTAAAAAGAGAGATGGCTTAAAACATACCCTTTTTTATGTCCACAAAATTCAAGGTACCTTTGTGAAAAATTTTTGGAAACCATTAAATAAATATCATAGGACCTTAGAGTTAAGAGTGTCTTAGTCCAACCCACTTAGTTACAAATGAGACAATAGAGGTCTATAGAGTTCAAGCTACTTGTTGTAAGCTACACAACCAGGTAGAGACAAAGCCAGGGTTAGACCTCAGGACTTCAGACAACAAGTCCAAAGTCTTTCTTCAATGCTTCTGTGACTTAGAGAGCAGGCGCCTGTACCCCTACCATAAGGCTTTTCCCCATGTTACACATTGACAGCCTCCCACATGCCAAGATTTTATACCGTGACTGTGGCCCTTTGCAAGCACTATTCTCGATTTCCTGGTGCCATCTCTGACCCCACCCAATTAGCTGTATATTCTTCTACTCTACCACACATTGCTGGACTTAACAAGTGGGTAATCAGATATCAGATTCAATATCTACATATATGAGCTCCCTCAAAAATATCAATTAGAAGCTTGTCATTTTCAAATCATTTGGGAAATGAGTCACAGTATAAAAAAATAAATGATCACTGCAAGACCACAGAACAGGTAAATGTGTCACACACCAGACTTGAACATTGGAAGGGCTAGGCCAGAGCAGCAATGAACCAGGAAGCCCCTGGAGTGCACACTTCTCAGATTAGACACACCAAAGAGACCCATCTCAAGACTGCCAGGCTGAAACTGAAGAGTAATTTTCAAGGAGTGCTTACTCATCGCCTACTTCTACTCTTGTAGAAAGTATTGCAGTGATTGCTACTAAACGTAGGGGAATCATCCCTAAAGAACACTGGATTCACACGACCAGTGCAACATTTACAAAGGCATTTGGGGAGTAATGATAGATTTTCTAAACTCCATTTCTAATCATTGGAGCTGCATATGTGGCCAGTAATTCAATGGAGACAAATACGGGAAAGCCATTGTCAAATCATAACAAGCCATTTCTTTGTCAGGTAAAAGGAACCAACTGATTGAATGTGGTGGGAAAATGAAAATTCAAAGCCTCAGTCACATGGAGTCAGAGACATTTACAACTCAGGATGAACTTAAAAATTGTAAAGAAAAATCTAAAATGAACAACAGATTTATGGGCTTAAAATGTAGCTTCATTTTCCCCTAAAAAGCATTCTGGGAATAGATTGTCATTGTATTTTAGAAAACATGATATTCTATCTTCTTTATCTAGAAAGTTCAAACTGGATTAACCAGCTATGAAGGAAAAGAAAATTTTATTATACCTTGATATCTTTGCGTTTCTATTCAATATTTTCTCAACTGAGACTACTTAGTGTTCTGTACTGATCATCATTCATCAAAGTAAGGTCAAGGGTAGTGCAATTACCCAGTGAATTTGGGTAGTTTTGTATTAATAAAACTGGAAGCATGTCCATCAGTTGGCTTCTAATCATAGATTATTTTTGTAAATGTCTTGGGATTATGGAAGAAGAAAGAAGGGAAGGATCTGGAAGAAACCTTTGAAAATAGCTGTCTAGAATTGAGTCAATATGTTTTAAACTCTTTAAACCATATTATTCAGCATATAATAACAAAGAATATTAAGAGAATATTAAGAGAAGAGGCACAGGTAATGACTGGTGACACCTTAAACATAAAGTGGGCTTCCAATTTAAGTTAAAAAAATAGTCGTATTAGATTATACATAACCCAAAGTATGAAAAAAAAACCATGAATACATACTGATATTTTTAGTGATAAAGGAAAAAAAGAGAGATAAAAAGAAAAAAAGAGAGGAAGGAAGGAGGGAAATCTCCTTTGCATTCCATATAATTTATGTATGGTACACACTTTGCCTTCAAGGATGTGAAGCATAATTCCCTACTCTTTAAGTCCAAGCTGTGTACAGTAATTTCTTTCCAAATAGTATAGTATGAAAGGAAGTGGAAGAGTAACTTTACAGTGGGGAAATCTGGCAAACACTACCTCAGTCAGGTTATCAAGACAAACATTAGCAGTGAGAAGTCACTTTGACATCATGCACTTATGACAGTTATGCATGACATCATGCATAACTCTTGTTATGAAGTGATGAGTGTGGTAGTTTACTGCTGTGGTCTTACTCCAATAAACCACAACCCCAGTTGAATCAAGAAGAAAACATCAGATACATTCCAATCGAGGAGCATTCTATAATATACCTGACCGGTACTCTCAAAACTGTCAAGATATTCAAACACAAGGAAATTCTGAGATACTATCACAGTCAAGAGGAGTCTAAGACATGACTACTGAATGTAATGCGGTATTATGGATGAGATTATGGAAGGCAAAAAGAACATTAAAACTAAGGAAATCTGAATAAAGCATGTACATTGGTTAAAAGTAATGCATCAATATTGTTCATTTATTGCAACAAATATGCCATACTAATTTAAGATGGTAATAATAGGGAAAAGTGGGTGATAATTTATAGGAACTCCCTGTACTATCATTTTAATGGCATTTTTTTAAAACTACTAAAATAAAATTTTATTTAAAAAAATAAAAAGGAAGTTGGCTGTTGCCAAAAAAAGACAGTAGAAGAGGTGGGTATTAATAGGAGATAGAAGTTAACAGTCAAAAGTCACTTTCAAATGCTAAGGAGAACTGTTGGAACAATGTGTTAAGAATAGCTGGGAGGTATTCATAAGCACACTTAGCACCTTGATTGACTGGGTCAAAAATAAGCCTGGCTGTGGGGGAGCCAGCCCAGGGTCATAAACAGTTCCTGCGCTGGCATCCAAATAAGACAAGGCAGCCCCAAAGAGGAAAGTGTCAGGTAATCAGAGGCCAGGGTTGTGAAAGAGCCACTATGTTATGCAATCTCTCTGCTATTTCTAATTAAGAGTAATTTCTTCACAATAGTCATTTTGACATTTTTGTCACTTTTACAAAGGCCTTTATGTCTAAATACAGGCAGCCCCTGCATTCTCACTACCTTAAATATTGCCTAGTAGGAGAGGACCTAAAAACAACTCCTAGCAAGGCTGGATCTGACCAGCCTTTAGTTTCAGCTGTAGATTCTTTATTTGGAGGAACTGAATCATGCATTTCTCACCTTTCTCACCAGCCAAGTATTTTTAACTTACTGTTAGCTATGGAAAGAACATAGGTCTATAAGGGAAAAGTCCATTTTTCACTTTTCTGCTTTTGATTGCTGAATCCAGGGATGCATTTTAGAAAAGAAAAAAAAAAAGATAAGGTGGTCTTTTACGCAAAAAATAGTGTTGGTTTGTTTAACATTTTTCTCCATTTTTTTAAATGCTCGAAGTGACTTTGCAACCCTAACCAAAGACCACTTCTTACCTGCTGACTGCTCATTTGTACTACCCTAAGAAATGGCGTGCACTAGACTTGAGCTCCCCAGTGGGCTCCAGGGACAGACAGGTTGTACAGACGGTTGTGTCCACCTTTCTCTACAGAAGGACCCGACCTGGAAGCAGAACCTCTATGGACCTGTTCTGCTAGACCTCAAGAACCTGGAACACAAAAGAGACAAAGCTTAAACCGATGTTTTAGAGCTACTGAATACACTGATACTCAAGAAACTAAACTTCCTGAAAACAGTTTGTTCCAACATCTAAAGGGAGCTATCAGGGTTTTATTGGGTTCTTAGGTCTAAACTAAGAAAATGAAAGTGGAGAGGCCAAGCAATTAATTGATCAAAGGAGAAGAGAGAGACGTATTTCTCATCAACACATCTCTCCCGACAGTGTATGTGGGCAGCATGGCAATTAAAAACATTTAAGCAAGACATTTGTTTCTCCCTATGTCATTATTTGCATGAGAGATAAAAAATGGATTTCCTGGTCAGGGATTTAAAAAAAGGATATAGCAATGATTGGATACTGCAGAATGGTGAAATTCAGATAATACAATTCTGTGAGGTGCATTCAAAAACAAAGAATAAATTATGCCCTGGAAAACAAATACCAGAGGAAAATACCAAAGCCAATTAAGATAATAATTAACAGATAGGCTGGCTGAACACATACTCCATGGCTAGAACTGTGGGCACAAAGGATAGAAGAGGGAAGTTAAGGTGGGAAAAGGTCACCTATAAAAGGTGACCAGAGTGAGATGTTAAATGTACACAGGATTGAAGGCAGCCCCAGGGGAAGGATCTAACAAAAGAGGCAAAGTGATAGTGAACCGTGCAAGTTTAAAGAAAAGCCCAACGTATCTGGTCTATCCTCAGTCTTTGCAGGTATCTTGAGTGGGCAAAACCAAACTCAAGTCTATAGAAGGAAAGCAAATAATTATAATAAACACTTACGTAACAATTGCTATATGCCAGACATATGTGAATATATTAACTCATTTAATGTTTATAATAATCTTATGCAGAATGGACTTTCTTCTCCCTATTTTACAGATGAAGAAACTGAGGCACAAAGAAGTCAAGTGACTTGCCCAAGCTTACACAGCCAGTAAGTGTGCTCCCAGCCATCATATGCTGATTTAAATCCCACATAAGCTACCTACCACTAAGAAAGAACATTCATATTCATCTTATAACTGTGTTGTGGCCTAAAATAATTAAATTCACTGAGGGCAGGAAATGGACAGTTCATTGTTCTACTCTTTACAGAGTTTAGCCTTGCTCATAGTGAGTATTCAAAAAATTATTGTTGAAAATGTTCGGGTGTGTGCTTTCTATCAAAATTAAGTCCATATTATACTAAAATCACTAACTTCACATCTCTATTTTATTACAATGAGAAAACATTTTAACTATACTTTCTCAAATTTTCTGTTGCTTAATACAAAGATTTTTGCTAAAATATTGCAACTTGCCAATATGGAAAGTTTCAAGCTAATATTTTAAGATTCAACGATTTAAAGGAATAACACATTTTCCCACACAACCATAAATGAAAAAAGATTACTTTCTACAATTGTGCTGTAAATAAGTAAAAATGGAAGATTGCAAACTATCTTTGCTTATGTAATATACACATAATAAAGAATAACATATTTAAATATCTCAAGTAAATAGAACATTTAAAAATGAGGCTGACTTTTCATTTTTGCCCAATCTAGCAATGACCAGTGGTTTATACCCTATTACTCCCTGACTAAAAAATTCATTGGATAAGATGAAGGGATCATCCTGTGAGGGATACTATAAAATTTGACATGGGATTGTTAGGATATTATAGTCGATGAATCATTACCACACTGCTTTCAAAAACCAAGAAGTATAGAGACAATGTCGGACAGAGTAGTACAGAATTTAAAATAATTTCCTCTGAATTTCTCCTTATTCCCTGATATAAAAAAGTGGTTAACAATGTCATATAACTGATTTGAAACTGGCCAGATTGACATTTCAGCTCTATGGTTAGTATGGCTTTTAAAAGAGTAGAAAATAAATGGGAAAATCAGTGAGAGGGACATTTTGGGAAAACAAACTCCTTACTTCCTGCTTCTGTGCCTACCTCCGTGCAGTGACGTCAGGTGAGATGACCTGGCTGGGGTGTGCAGGCCTTTATGAAGAAGTCTCACCTGGGGAAGCTGGCCTGTGTCCTGAGACTGTTCTAAGACCCTGATCTAATGTCCAATTTGACAGTAGATGGACACTGCTGATGCTCAGGATTGGACAGTCCAGAAAGCTTCTGCTAAAGGACCCATAGATTAACTAGGAGTTCGTGTCTTTTTGTAGGAGGGTAAAGAGAGGAAAGTAGATGCAAAGTTCTGGCCATCAAACTCTAGAAACAAAAGTCAATACTCTCTGTGCCAACCTGGGTTTCAAAATATGAGCCTCATTGAGTAGCAGTGATTTTCTCTTCCCCACCCCCACTTTTTCCTAACCTAGTATTATCCTTCCTTCCAAGTCATAATAGCATCACTTCCTCAATTGTCTTGGACATAATTTTTTTCCAAAGCTAACCCCAGCAGCCATTTTCACCATCCTTAGTCATTCATACAACAAATATTACTGGAGCACCTACCACATGACTAGGATTCGAAGACAATGCTGAACAAGACAGGTATGGGTTTTGTATTCATTTAGGATAGAAGGAAAGGATGAGTGCCCTGCAGTGCAGGGAACAATGACCCTCAGCTCACTTCTTGATACAAGATGGCATATTTAAGAATATACCACACAATGAAAGACATTGGTAAGCACTGAACCTCAGACAGTGAGGCTCTAGGGAGAGGGAAGAGTTATGTCAGAGTCATAGGAGGAAATTTTCCAAGCTCCACAAGCCCAAAAATAGTTTCCACCCCTCCCACCTCACTGCCTCCCACTTCTACTCTGATTCCAGTGTTAACCTTACCACCTCCTCTCCTGCCTAAGACAATGGCAACATTTGTACTTTTCCTTCTCAGCAATTTTTTCCTCTCCTGGCAGTCTATAGGGAGCAAGTCGGACTGGGGGTGGGAAAATAGAATGCATTTTTTGGCTTTGCATTTCCACAAATGATTCATGAGATTAGCAGAGGCAAGCACTTGAGAAAAAAGAAAGAAAAAAAAAAAAACTATTGGAGATTCTGAAGATTTGGCTATGAATTACAAAAGCTAAATTCTGGAAAACTCATAACAAAGCATTCATAGAGTGGGGAAATTTTCAGAGCAAACTGGCTATCCAAAGAACAGTTTTCCTGCCACTTGGATAAGAGATAACAGTTTGAAGGGCTCACATGCCGTGAGGACCTGAAAAGTGGCCTGGTGCGACCTGCCCCTGAGACCTCTGGAGTGAAACCAGAGGACCATAGTTGTTTGTACATCAGAAGTCACAGGTGAGAGTGGTGGATTTCAGAGAAGAAGAGCCTATTCCCTGGCTTTCCATAGTGTGGTTTAGATACTACATAGCTCACAGCAAAACCCCAAGTCCAACATGATGCCACGCTGTAGGTCAAAGGGCTGAAGGAGGAATGTAGGTGGCAGGACCCCAGGGCAGTTCACAAAGTTGTGTTTTCACAATGTAGTACCTGGAAAACAGCCAAGAGTTCCTGAGGAGGTATCATAGTCCCATCAAAAAAAAAAAAAAAAGAAAAGAAAAAAGAGCCAGAGGAGTGATTGAGAAGAGGTTCTGGGACAGAGGATACAGATTGCATAACCCTTTCATGGAGGGAAGACCAAAGACCTGGTAGAAGGAGATCCCACAGTGAGAGCCAGAGAGATCAGAGGAGGACAGGGAAACCAGATTCCCCTTCCTTATGCCACATTTACCTGCCAGAAACTTAGGGGAAACAGAAGGAAGAGGAAGAAAATTCTGATTAGACTGAATTTTAGAGAAAATTTAGATTTTAGTTTAGATTTAAACTAGAAGTGAATGTTGTCAGAGTAACAACATTAAGTATTCCATTAAAAGTAGAAATAGGGACTAGAGAGTTAAATTCAGTTATTAAATACAAAGTTTCAGCTTTGCACATCCAAGCTTGTGGACTGTTATTAGTTATAAAACTCATACTTTTTATACTGACACAGAAGAACAGATACTCCCCAAGCAAATTTATTAACAGTGTATGGCAGGATCAGACCAAATTCTAACAGACACACCATAAATCCAAATTATCTTTTCTCAACACTTCTTGGGGGAAAAAAAAAAACATGATAAACTTCAATACAAAGATAGTCATGGGTGACCTATTCAAACCTTTCATAACAAGAAACCACAGTGATTAATTAATTCAAAGTCCATTTCAGGATTTTCTTCCTTGTGAATTTTTGTTACAAATAAATAATCCTTAGACATTTTAATAGGAGTGTTAGAAACTACATAATAGTTTTCTGCCCACCAGAAGAGGCAACATGATGTGTCTACTCACTGGATTTTCTACAGGGAGTTTGTAGGGCATAGTGGTTAGAGCATGGGCTCTGGACTAAGGGAGCCTGAGTTCTAATCCCAATTCTACAGTGCTACACAGAACCACATGTGTGAATCTCAGATGCATTAATTATGATAAGTGCAAAAAGCTAGAGCCAAAAGACTACACACTATATGATTCCATTTACATGGCATTCTGGGAAAGGTAAAATTATGGGAGCAACAACAGATCTGTGGTTACTGAACCCGGAGTCAGTAGCAGGGCTTGACTAGAAAGGGCCTGGGGAATTTGCAGGGCTGGGTGATTGAACTGTACTGCATCTTGGTTATCATTTGCCAATTTATCAAAACTCCACAGAAATATACAACAAAAAGAGCAAATTTTACTGTATGTAAATTTCTTTCTTTAAAAAATCCCCCTTTTGCACTTAATAACCAAATGATCTTGCCCTGGTTGCTAAATCTCTTTTTGTGCTTCAGTTTCTTTGCCTCAAAAGACAAATAAAAGCACCTTCATCATAAGACCATTATGAAGATTAAATGAGTTAATGGGATTAAGGCAATTAGAACAGAGTCTACCACCCACCACCCCAGAAGGCCTTAGTAATAGTTATCATCATCGTCATCATCATCCTTATGCCTGGTCTATGCCAGGTGTCGTGGCTTCTGTGGTGTTCTTCCCAGACCCTCCTGCATCCATGCACCCATCCCCCAGATGTTGGGAGACTGTTACACCCTCCTGGCTGCGTTCCCACTAGGAATTGCCCTCCAGCATAGGCCTGTCCACCAGCCATCAGCTTGGGTGGCCCCTAGGGAGGGGTGTAAACTTGGGCTGATGTGGGCATACAAAGGCCCAGCCCCCTTATCAAAATCCGGGACAACTCTGAAGGGACATCCCAGCTCCAGAACTCCCTGTAGGATTGGTTTGGGTCTCAACCACTACCACATTGTGGGTCAGGCTCTGCCTATCTATGATGTCTTCTTCATAGGCAGTAAAGAAAATAAGATGCAGGCTCCACAGAGCCAGATCACCTGGGTTCACTTCCTGTCTTGACTATAGCCGTAGGATCTTGAAGTCATCTACCTTCCCTGTGCCTAAGTGTCCTCATGGGGTTCTGGCAAGGATAAAATAAGCTAATGAGCAAACGTAAAAACACAGTCAATGTTACCCGGCTCACAGTGGTCCAGTGTCTATCTGAAGTTCTATGACCCTCATTGTCTGATCATTCATTTTCACTGATTCCACGATATTGTTTTTTTTTTTTCAATGCATATTTTTTCTATTGCTTTATCTAAACTAGAAGTGAATATTAGTCCTATTTCTTTCAGTTTACAAAATAGAGAGTCAGGGAAATTAAATGATTTGCCCAAGATCACATAGCGAGACAGTGTCGTGCCAATTCATTTTCAGAACTTGGTCTTTTCCCATGACACCACAAACATCATATAAGGAGCTGTTGAAAAGCTGCTCCTTATATATATTTATTTTAACTTCATATAGTATATAAAACATAATTATTAATAAGGATATAATAATTATGTACAAGTTGAAAGAACATTAAAGAGTGCTTATCACCGGGCGTGGTGGCTCACGCTTGTAATCCTAGCACTCTGGGAGGCCGAGGCGGGCGGATTGCTCAAGGTCAGGAGTTCAAAACCAGCCTGAGTGAGACCCTGTCTCTACTATAAAAATAGAAAGAAGTTAATTGGCCAACTAATATATATATATAAAATTAGCCGGGCATGGTGGCGCATGCCTGTAGTCCCAGCTACTCGGGAGGCTGAGGCAGGAGGATTGCTTGAGCCCAGGAGTTTGAGGTTGCTGTGAGCTAGGCTGATGCCACGGCACTCACTAGCCTGGGCAACAAAGGGAGACTCTGTCTCAAAAAAAAAAAAAAAAAAAGAGTGCTTATCTACCCCCAAAACCCCTAATACTAGAATACTTTCTACATTTTCAACAATTCTTTGGTTGTATGGCTTCTGAATATTTCCAGTGATAAGGACCTCCTAGCTTCCTGGGGCAGCTTGTTTTTGTGACTCTCCATCAGAAGGGAGTTTTATTAAGCCATGTTTCCTAACTACCACTTTCCCTAGTCAGTCGTAATTCTGCTTGTGGGGCCACACAAAATAAAATAAATCTTTCATCCGCGTACTAGCCTTCCAAATATTTGGAAACAGTTATCACATCCCACCCTTAGTTCCAAATTAAACAATGCAGATGTCTTCAACCAATCCCCATCACAAAACCTTCAGTGCCCCACTATCCTGTGCCCATCTGTCTGACACTCTAGTCTGCCAGCATCCTGAAATATAGTACCCGAATCCAAGCACGGATTCCCATTTCTAAGTTGAGCAAGCTGGAAAAGAAGGACACTAAAACCCTCTTTGATATAAATTCTGTGCTTTAATTCACTCAGCCAAAGAATCTAACCCTTTTTAAACTTACTGTCAACTAGACTCACCAACTATTTATTCCAAATCTCCTTCCCTACTGCTTGCTACATTAACCTGTCATTATGCCATTTTATAATGATTATCCACTCAAAACTTGTCTGCTTAGATATAACCCATTCTTTCAATTTTCAGGAGCATTTTGTCAACTAATCTTTGCCTAAATATTCACCTCTCCCAACTTGAGCCAATTAGAAAATGTCATCAGCATGCCATTAGGGTCCACCTCCAAACACTGATGAAAATAATGATTGGTAGAGGATAAAGACAGAGACCTCCCTCAAGCACACTATTGACCTCTTGCTCATGTTCCCTTCAGATTCTGTGTTCAACCAATTATGAATCTCACTCACAGCACTGGGATCCAACCTGCATCCCTCCTTATTCTCAAAGATACCATGACCAACTTTGTGAGACCCTGGCCAAAATCTCAGTGTGATTCATTTCTCTCATTCCTCAAATACTCTGATTCACTAAGCCCATTCTGCTCCTTCTTATGTAGTTTCAGCTCAAGGATAAAAGGCATTGAATATTACTCTAAGAGCAAACAAGGACCTTGGGTGGAATTCACAGGATCTCCTTCAGACTAGCTCTGAGGACTATGAACTGCCCAGAGAGAAGACACAGCCTATGCACAGAGGTTAACCAGAAAATGACACATTAGAAAAACTAAAATAAATCCATACGCTAGGAAAAAAAATGCAAGGGTAGAAGAGTGAAGAGACATGAGGCTAGAGATAGATAAGAAGAGGCAGATTTTGTAAGTCATGTTAGGGAACTTGGACTTTATCCTTAGGACAATGGGGAGGCATTGAGGGACATTAAAACAAGAGAGTCGCACGATCAGATATGCATTTTATGAAGATCACAGACAAAGGCTGTTCTGGAGACTCCTTCTTTGACAAGGAAGTGGAAATCGTTAACCTCTAAGGTCCTGTCCAATGCAAAGTCTTTGGTTTTAGTGCTTAGCTAATCAGGAAACCCAAATGAAGGTTATCTTCTTCTAGCAGGATTTGCACTTTCCCTTTCCTCATAAAGTTGTCCAGATTCATCACTTCCATTGGGAGTGTGTTTGTGTATTAGCAGGGGCTTTGTAGCTAACATCACAATATCCTAGCACCTTTGCATGTCCTGTAGAATGGGTCTCACTGTCACTGCATTCTTCCTGTCAGGAAGCCATCCTGCTAGGAACTGAAACAATCAGTAGCCTAACTTGTAAGCTGCAAAGTACACAAGTGCCAACTACCAATGTTGAAAGAATCAAAGAAGTGACAAAAATTTAATAGAGATGTGATTAAAATTTCATTATTATCAAGAATTATGCTGTCAAAAAAAAATGTAACAGATGATTAGGTGAAAAATTCAGAATTCTTTATGCCACTTGTGAAGAAGAGTTATCCATAACTTATAAACAAAGAGGAAAAAAGATGACTGTGTGCCACTTCAATGTCACATTGAAAAAATGTTTAACAAATTCATTCAAGGATTACTTAATTTTCTAAAATAATCTACCATTGCTTGACTTTGCTATTTAAAATATAAATTAAGGGTTTAGGCTCTGTGAAGTCATATGTTATTTCACAGAAGCTATATTTTCTGTTTAAGAGAGAAAAAGAGCCCCAATTTTATGGTATATTGTACTGTTGGATATTAACCTGTTTGTTCCTAACCCAGCAATCTATTGTAACATTCCTTTATCAAATTGTCTATAAATACCCATCTCCTCAAATTGTCTTTGAACCAGCTTTATGATTTTGCTATTTTTCCCATTAATTAATGAGTTGAATAATATCAATACCTTTGACACATATTCATTCCATATTCATATGAGAGTCCTACTTTAGCTTTTTGGAAGTTATACTTTGGCATTCGGAGCACTAAAACAATGTAGTGTTATTCTTCACTGTAGCCTCAACTGCTGCTGGATTTTAAGGTATGAATGTTGAGGGGTGATGTTTTTTCCTACTTTTTTCCTTCTTTCTTCCTTTGTTGTTTGATGTTGATATCAAGTAGAGCAGGCCTAAGCAGACTGATACATCGTTATTTTTAGCACCTTAGAAAATAGCATATATGCAAAAATATTTAAATTAATACCTAGAGCAGAAGAAAAGTAGATGTATATTTTTTCCTTTCAACCTCTTTACTCTTCCATTTTTACTGCTGAAAATTCCCCCAAGGCAAGAAAATCTTTCATAGAATTGTCTTCCAAGTTGTGAGGGAATTCTTGTCCATTTAAACAAATAGAATGAATGTTTAAAACCAAACCAGAATGTCCCTTACTGCTTTATTGATGTGTTGGGGTCCCCCCAACATTGATGTGTTGAGTATCCCTTCTTATCAGTGGCTACAGCATCCTTACTCCTATGGATTTCTTGTTCTGCACAACTGAGGTGATGAAACTTGGTGCTGGATATGGCCATGAATCTGTTCTTTAGCTGGTGGTTTATTACAGATATGTGAAAACCAATAAGAAAAATAAAAGACTACATTACAAAAAAATTTCTCAAAACCTAATAACCGAAAGAACCCAAAGCTTTTCCTTTGTGTCCTGTGCAGATTTATTATGCTTTCCAATGAAAATAAGTAGTAATATATACATGACCTGTCACCTGAAAACAGTTTTCCACACAAACTTGAGATGGTTGTTTTCCTCCTATTTATAAAGAAGATTTTCTCTTCCAACCACCATATGAAAAGTACAGAGGGAGGAAATGAGCAGGCCTTGTTCATTATCATCCTGCTAATTCACAGTTAAACGGCTCATTTTATCTAATGCCATTTAGAATCACTTGTTCTTTTTTTTTTTTCACTAGGTCTTCTTAAAGTCTGCTAGCTGGGTTTGTGCAGCTTCTTAAAAATACAATATTGGTTTTAATAATCCAGATTTGAGTTTATTTTAGTTGTTCTCATAAATTTCATCTCTGTTTATGCTAGAAGCATTTCCTGTTCAAAACCATTCAGCCAATACGTATCGTGCTGTTCTTTCACAGGACCTGACAACCAGAGCACCTGCCATCAAGGTACACTACGGCACAAAGTGCGGTCACATATCGGACATACAGAGACTACCATTAACTCTGCAGAGTGAGTCTTTTGTATTAAGTGGTTTCTGAAAATACCTCTGACAGATGCTGCTAGACCAAAGAGCCTCCCACAGCTGCAGCTCTAGACAAATGTGGGGGGGATGTTTGCTCTCCTCTACTAGTTGTCTGAGTCCCTGTGATAGTGCCCATGGCTGTGCTGCCAGGCTTGTGCTGTGCGCTTGGTGGCCGTGGCTGTGGCATGGGAGGTAGTGGAGGGGGCTGGGCTCTGCAAACTGCTGAGCTAGAACCACCCCTGTGGCAGAGCCTGGGACCCAAGCACCCAGCACAGTGGCAGCCCAGGGATTGAGCCCTTAACAGAGGCAAGAGGCTGAAAGGGAATGGCTGCCTGGCCTTTAGTAAACAAGCTGCCCGAGGATAATTTGAATGGTGAGAAGCAGTTTTTGCTCCCTTTGATTTTCTGGGATTTCATTTATTTGCTTAATTACTTCAGCCCCGCTTCTTTTCAAAAAATGATTGTGAGGGTTGGAGGGGGAGGGTTGGAGAGCTTTAAGCAGTGCCCCGCTGAACATGCGCCCAGGAAACAATTTGCTTCTCACTGTTCAAGGTCTGCTTTTTAGCTCCCAAACAATTAAGCAGGAACACATGAGCCCTTCCGGGCTGAGCCGGCACC